ACTAAAGATGACTTGATGAATAAGATTTCTGTTCTCATTAACATATTTATACTGTGTGGTGGGCAAGTCTTCCTACAAGCTTTGGATAAAAGGCTTCTCGATACTTTTGCATTTTTTACTAGAATTCGTTAGACCAGTAATATTTGGCTGAATCTCAGTGTTGTATATCTAGAGTAAATAATAAGTATATAGAATGGTGGTATTAAACATGTGTATCTCGTATTTGAAAGAATGCACACGATTCAACACACAACACTCATAAAGGTGCCAGTAAAATTGTGTATGTACACCCTAATGTGGTACATATACAGTATACATTTATACATTGTTCTCTTCTCAATGAGAGCGGGGCTAACTGATTGAAGTAGAAAAGTTCTAAGCTGTGTAATAGAATATCAATTAGTATGTATATGTAGTTTTAATACATGTACTACCCTTACACTTAGAATGAAGGAGGGTCACAATTGTTCATGCACCATTCAAAGGGGATGTCAACAAATTTCATGCAAATGCTTGTGAAGGGTCATACATTTTGTGTACGCGACTTTCAAAAAACACCGGCCTACCCCCTGTACTTTTTGTCCAGTCCCTTCCTGAAATTCGAACACGGGCTGCGCGACGACTGCCGCCCTTTAAAACAAAATGGCGGAACTATTACAGCCTTCCCTGTTGAGAATCTAGATTAAAAATTTAATTATTTCTCTGTAGTTATTAACTGTTTGTAATGCTGTACCATTACTTTTGATTTCCACCAGCCTGCATTCTCCACTGAACACATTGATTCTGGGCCCGCAACCACGCCACCAGTGGCAGGAATCAGTGGAAATGACCACCCAGTGCGACCCAGTACGTCCTTGTCCCAAATGTCTGGCTGGTATGTGCACCAGCGTGACAGGGTTTCACGCTCTCTGTGCGTAATAAACTGGCTTAGTAGGCGTACTTGTTGGGGGTGTCCGGTGACCCAGGGGGAGACGTGCCGTGATATGAAGCTACGCGATTAGATGCCGTACGCTAGCGTCGAATAGAGTCACCCACGCAGTGCATGTTTACTAGTACTTTGATCAGACATAGTTTGCCCTATACCGTTTATTCGGTGTTATTGACTTACAATGTTTGTTCTTTTTGCTGTGATACATTTATTCCATCTATTAGTCACACCACAGACGGTAATTCGGAGAATGAAATTTAAAGTTGGATATCATTATTTTTAACAAAACGTGTAATTGTAGGTAAATATTTGAGGATACCCTCATATTATACGAAAATAAGAATGATTCGATCCAATAATTACGTGACAATGGATGTCAATTCATTTCAATAAAAAAGTATGAAGGACTGAAATTGACATGCGTTTTATTTTCAGACATGTAAGCGTTACCCAAATAAAACTATAATCCAGCATGGAAGCATCTGCTCGCACCCAGGCAAAATTTTGGTTTAAAGAGCGGCAGTCGTCGTGCAGCGTCCTGACCGATATGGGACTCATAGCGACGTATACAACGCGTGTAAAATACATTGTTTATTTACATGAAATTCGAACACGCGCTGCGCGACGACCACCGCGCTTTAAGACCATCATAGTGTATGTAATATATTCACTGTTGTCGTTTGATTACATAATGAATGGTTGTTAACACCCCAAAATCAATTATGTTTTTTTTTTGAAATTGAAACCAACATAAAGTCCTATATTTCAACATTACACGCGGGGTTAGACAAGGTGACCCATTGTCACCATATTTATTTATTATTGTGCTGGAAGTACTACTTGTATCAATTAATGTAAGTCCTTATATATGTGGTGTCAAAATAGGTAACAAGGAGGTTAGGTCGTCCGCGTATGCCGACGATCTCACCTGTTTCTTATCAACAGAAAATTCTGGAAATCAACTGTTGCATTTATTTAACAAGTTTTGAATGGCTTCCGGCCTTAAGCTAAATATTCAGAAAACTGAGGCCCTATGGTTGGGTAGGTGGCGGAAGCGTAGAGATAAATTGTACAATGTTAAGTGGCATACGTCTCCAATTAAAATAGTTGGCATTTACTTTTCATACAATAAACAGGAAGCGTTGGAGTTTAATCTCTTAAAACCTAAATCTGATCTCCTTAATATATTTAATATTTGGCAACAACGCAACCTTACTTTTATTGGCAAAGTTCAGATTATGAAAGCAATTGGTATTTCTAAATTACAGTACATTTTAAATTTGATAACGGTTCCGCTCGAAGCACTGAGAAAAATTAATTCAATTTTGTTTAGTTTTTTCTGGGCCGGTAAAGACAAGGTTTCCTGTAAAACTATGATATCGGGCATTGACAATAGGGGTCTTGGGGCACCAGATATTGGTATAATTTATAAAACACAAAAGATAAACTGGACTATACGTTATTCAGATAAAAATGTCAGCCACGCCTGGAAGGATCTTTTAACAAAGAGAAAATGTAGGTGGGGATATTGCTTTTAAATGTAACTTCAGCACTGAATTACTTGATGTTAATTTGCCACCATTTTACATAGATTGTTTTAGTGCATGGTCAGAATTAAATAACCAAACTGATTTAGATATTGATATGTACTTGTGGAAGAATAAGGTAATTACGGTTGGAGGAAAGTCTATTTTCTATAGAATACTACACAAATTTTGTATAAATTATGTATCAGATCTTTCAGACAGAATGGCGATCTCATTCCGTAGGACGAATGGCAAACACGTGGGTTATCACATTTAGGAATTATGTTGTGGAATAGGGTAGTAAGCGCTATTCCAAATATTAAAGGAAATTTTAAAATTGACGATTTTGGACTACATATCAACAATAATTTTACCAAAATTAACGAAATTGACAGCAGAAAAATGCGCTTCGAGTTAATCAACAAAGTTGCCACCCGTCCTACGAGTGAAAGAAAACTGTCAGAAATATTGAATATTGACCATACTAGTATTAATTTTTCAGATGTGTATAATTTGCCATTCACCACTACAATTTTCAATTTAAACTAAATCATAATATTCTCTATACAAACAAAGATTTATATTTCATGAACTCTAGCCTGGTTACGCGAAGAGCCTAGAACACTTTCCTGGGGTATTTAAAACTAAAAATTGGCATTCCAGCTCAGCAGCCAATCAGCAACGGCCTAACACTTAGATGACAATTTCGGTTTCAAATACCCCGGCTTAGTGTTCTAGGTTCTTCGCGTAAGTAGGTGTTCGTATGCAAGAGATTTTTCCGCACAAAAACGACGAATTAGGCCGAATTTTGTTATCGGTTGGCTTAATATAACCCCAATGGACCGTATTTTTGTGAAAGATTGGTATTTTTTTGTCCTGATTTGTAGGAATCTGAAAAACGCGTTTCACAACTTGTCTCTTATTTAGTTTTATGCGTCATTCAAGATGGCGGCCCCCATATAGTATTTATTTTATTATCACGTGTGCGCCAGCTGACTGTGGGTACAATGCATACAGCAAATAATACATGTACAATCAGACCCAGTGTTATTTAACTAAGCACACTTCGACTTTGGTAACCCTTGATTGTTAAGCGCCCTCTATAGATCGATTGTGATATTTTGAAATTGTTGGACCAATCGTGCAATCCCCCTTAGAAAGAAATATTGTGTGCTTCAGTTTTGGCGACATATTAAAAATTAATTTAAAATTTAAGATCAGCCCTTCAAACAAGAAGCTTGGCTAATAATTTTGTCTGCTACTTGAGATCATGAAAACAAAGTTATCCAATATGATATTGAAGTTTATAAAACTTACAGAAAATAAAATTTGATTTTACATCAGAGGTTTTCAGTCTAATTTATTCCAGAGCACCTCTGATTTTTTGAGATATCAGAAATTAACTAGTAACGGTTAAATATTCAATAAGAATGTTTTTCAACTTTGTCTGATTACCCTAGAGCATCTATGAATGTTTATGCACATTATGTAAATTAGGCAATTAGTATGCTCAAATTTCAATCCAAAACTGATCTGATCTTTAGTATTGTTCCCAAACACTTCACATACAAAGTCTTATTGAAATGCAATAATTGGAAATATAGGTTGAAAATTGGGTAACTATTATGTAAATTAACTAATTATTATGCAAAGATATCAACCCAAATTTTATTTGGTCTGTGTATTGTTCCAGGGCACACATGTACAAAGTTCCAGTAATGTGCCGATTAATTTTTTTGAAAAAGTACTTGAGATATTGATTGGAAAAATTGAAAACTGTCTAATTATTTTGTAAATCAAGTAATTAATATGTACAAATGTTAATATAAAACTAATCAGGTTTGTCCATAGTCCTAGAGCGTCTATGTACAAAGTTTTATTGAAATGTAATGCTTAGTACTTGAAATATCAGCAGAAAAGCCAAAACTGAGTAAACATTATGCAAATTTGGTGATTAACATGCATGGAATTTTACCCAAAACTAATCAGGTCTGCACATTTTTCCAGAGCTTTTATGTAGCAAGTTTCATCAAACAACTAGAAAATGTTAAGTGAAATTTAACTAATATCTCGAAAAAATATACATAGAACAATAACCAAAATCGAACTTGGACAAGATCTGAAACTGGTTTATACCCAAATTTGCAAAAAGTTGGATAAAAGATTTCGAGTTACTGTAACCGCAAAAAAAGTTTTATGACAAAGTCAATGACAACAGACAATAACAGAGGACAGACATTCCCCCCCCCCCTATATACCATGACCTCTATGTTACAGACATGGTAAAAAGAGTTAATGTGGAGTGCGTTACAGACATTCTGAGAATTGTTCAGTCAGCTAGCATGATGGATTGTAAATATGCAAAACACTTAAGTTCTTGTGCAATCCAGTCTTGACGATGCTGTCTTTTTTTTCAAGCAAAGTCGATAAGTCTACAACAAAGCAAATGCCGGTGTTTTGCAAATTGCAGTATATCTTGCTGACTGTAAAAATAATTCTTAAAGCGCTGTTAAAAAAAAAAAAGGACAATGCTACTATAAAAGTCATAAAATTTCAATATAGACACTTTATTTAATGACATGCCTTATCATTCTGAATTGCTTTCTACAATATTTTTATTACAATAATTATTTCCAGTGTGATAAATTATACTACAAGCCAGTGTTAATTCTGCACTACTAGATCAGGTAAATTTTCTAGTTTTCCAAGATCACATATGTGAAACAATGGAAACAAAAACAGCACTAGACAATTGTGTGTCAGCAAAGAACTCTACTCCGGTAATATCAAATATTTGAGTAGCATCCAGGAATGAGCTTTAACCATTTTAGTGATAAATCAAAAATAGCATCTGAATTAATTGGTTCTAACGTCGTAGTAGTCACATCGTCAGAGACAATACAACAGATTAGAGACTCGGTGTGTTTGATTATAAACACATAATATTTATATTACATGTTTTCTCATCAATGAACAATTGTACACAATGTGTATTTCAATTTTTGCAATTACTTTTCTGTATTATATTTTTCTCACAATTCAGATACATAGTTGCATTGAAATTGCTTTTTTAGTAATTGGCATTAGAAGAAAAACAAAGTTCACTGAAAAGCATGTAGTTTATTATGCAGGCATATTTATCTATAGTAAAACTGTCTCCAGATTTTGTCACCGTCACTGCGAGCATCATTGTTGTAATCAAAACACACTTCAGCATTTTAATCTTCAGATAAAAAAAATATTCCATCCATTGCAGCATGCATATACAAATAAAGACCATATCTCAAGCGATACCAATCAAGGGCTTGTCCATTTTGTTACAAACTAGGGTGCAAGGTTTAAATCTTTTAAGGGAAATTGATATAATGAACTCTGTGTACAGCAAGCCATGTTTACTGTTGAGATTCTGAAGCAATCTGTTGACAAATGAAAGAAAACAGATGATGAAAGTAAATATTTTTACGACAGTACACACTGAGATTTGATGGCTCTATATTCATAAATATGTTTAACTTGTATTGTTTTGCTTTTTTTAAAACTGGGTAACCTCGTTGAAGAAGAGTGATCACATTCATTACAGGTAGTAATTTACATCAAAAATCATTTGGGGAATGTAGATAACAATATAGAATTCATATTATTAAATTTTCAGTTGAGAGAGCACCCAGTTTAAAGGGCTTCATATTCTAACAGACCTGATCAGGAAACACTGATTTGCTTTTAAAATAAATCACCACAATATGTCAGGCATTAGACACTACAAATATTTTGTCACAGATTGACACTATTGGATGTGTGAATTAAATGACAAAATATTACCTTTACTATTTTTCCCCGTAATGAAAAAGGGTCTTTAAATACGTTTTGACAATTTGCATAGCCCATTCCTAAACCGATACCAGTACCAAAAGCCACTGGCCAAGACTTCCCTGGAAACAAACATTAACATACAAATAAATTATATATATTGCAAAAATAAACAATCAAACTGTCATGATACCCTGATATAATGCTGCTTGTACCCATAGCATATCTCAGAATAAGATGGGATTTCCTATGGTGTAATTGGATATGAAAGCTAGCTCACTATGCTTGAATGATTGATTTTTTAAGCTACTAGATTTGTATTAAATTTGGTATGACAATACAGTTTTACTATTTTTCAAGTTAGTTCAGCATAGATATAATTAATAACAGAATCTGTAAGAAAGAAAATAGCATAACCCATCTTATTATTGTACATTTTTAGTTTTGCTGGCTGTATTAGCATGTAGTGTGCTATTTTTGCTCTTCTAAGTGTAGTGTAGTGTAGTGTAGTGTAGTGTAGTGTAGTGTAGTGCAGTGCAGTGCAGTGCAGTGTAGTGTAGTGCAGTGTAGTGCAGTGTAGTGCAACACTAGTGTAGTGTAGTGTAGTGTAGTGTCGTGTAGTGTAGTGTAGTGTAGTGTAGTGTAGTGTAGTGTAGTGCAGCAGTGCAGTGCAGTCTAACGTAGCGTAGTGTGATTAAGTCTTATCCAGCACAATCAAAGCACAAATCTCTTACTTTCAGAGCATAATTCTCAAATCATTCTTGCTAATTTTAAGATACTTACTTTTAAAAAGGAAGACTGAAAATACAACACCTAAGCCTAATCCAGCACCTAGAGAAAAGAAAAACAAGTTTTGTTACCATAAAGAAACAAAATTGCTCACAATAAAGATAAAGTTATTGCAAACTGAAATAAATATGTGATTTCTTTCAAATACAAATAGGAAACTGGGATGTCATATTTGCTCTATTAGAATCTACAATTAGACTGCATAAAAAAAAATGTTGTTGTGATTACGCGTTTGCAATCAATTGTCGCATATCCAGAATTGACGGTGCCTTGATCTTATATGCCATTTCGCAAGATATTCTACAACACTTATTGATCAATTCAAGACAGCTAGGCGTGGTATATTTAGTTCCTCTGCCTCCCCAATTTCCCAGTTATGATCTTTCTCTGTGTACAGTAGTGTGAAAGTGAAGGGTACTCATTATCATTAGGAACTTGCTGGCATGACGTCAATGTGAATATCATCCCTCCGACAGCCATGTACGCAGGGCTACCTTGCACGACATGTATTGTCACAGTGCAGACGACATGGAATTCACAGGACCAAATACCGAATTTGTTAGATGTATAACAGTACACTGAGCATCATCTTACGTTAACCAAGTCAGATCTGGTCCCCCAAAAAACAAACCTGTTTTAACAAGTGTATCATACAAGCACTGGTCCCATTTTTGACCAAGTTGATCCTCGCTCCGTGTTGTACCGTCGGCCATTTTGAATAGCTTGCAGTGATGCGCATGTGCTGTTCCGAAAGCCGGTGATATTGTTGTGGAGGAAATTGTTATTGAATATCATTATTTTATTATTTTTAGCTAAAATGTAATATTCTGGTTAGTAGTTAAATTATAAATATACATTTCAAGCGTTTGGCAATGCAGCAGTTGATTTGTGTCAAAGGTCAAATAGTCACATGATTGTACTATGCGGAAGTGTTACTGCTAGTGTTAGGCGAGTGAACTTTACTTCAGATCAAATCTCTGTTCCATCGGACATTTTCCCCCGCGATGTAAATACATATCAGCTATCTCTCAAGTCAAAATGGAGGAGAGTGTCGACCCAGAATCTGAACGACCGATAACCTTCGCCGATCTTGGCGTGCCAACGACGGCAACAATCAAAGACTCTTATTTTGGGAAGGTAGTTTCGCTTTCACTTTTTCATTGCTTACAACGGCCTAACGGGTTCCAGAAGTTGAACGTTTAATTTTTGCCACTCTGAATGAATTTATGTTGAAATGTTTGCCGCTGTTTATGTGACAGGATGTTTGTATATGTTTAGTTTTACAATACATGTTCAATTTTATGGCCAATACTTGAACTAAGGGTGACCTCGATTGGTGACCTGTCGTTATGTCGTTATTATTTTCTGCTAGTGTTTCAAAGTTCATCAGGACGGTGTATGTTGGCTTAAAACAATGGAAATTATTAATTTCCGATTTCCGAAAAATGTATTTTATTTACTAGTATTTGTTGCAATCTCTATAAATCAGGGGCTCACTATTTGAATAAATTAAACAACAAATATATACTAATATTATATACCGTATTTGCTTTATTTTGGAACATAGCTCCAAGAGTCTACTAATAGAGTAAATACAACATTTCTAATTTGTCATTTATTTTGCTTAATATCTCATTTGGTTATGTTACCCTTTGAATGCTTTGACTTGTCCAGCTTTATTTTGTACATTTTTATGTTTTTTTCTAGGAAAGAGTTCCTTAATATTTTCATCACTAGACTTTCACACCCAAATGTTTCTGCACCTTTTTCGTATATTCTTCAATATTTCTGGAAATGAATCTTATTTTGGGAGCAAAATTTGAGTCAAATTTCAGTTTTTACTAAAAAAATTTGGAAATCTTCTGAAAAAAAGTGCAGACTATAAACAAGACGGTTTGTGAATTTGTGATGAATAGAGGGAACTGGTGGTGAAAAGGTTATTAAGGCCTCCCTTACCTCTAACCTGAACCATTACCCTAAAATTGCATTGCAGTGTAATTCAATATGTCCTTGCAAATAATTATAAATGACCCATGAGGGTATCTACAATTGAGGGATACTGGGGGGGGGGGGGGCAGAGTTAGGATTAGAGTTATGAGTGGTCCTGTGGAACTCTTATATTTTTCTATAATTTCTTTATTAATTTTGGGCCTAATTTGTTGAACAAATTTGGAAAAAGTTTATGATTTAAGAAAAAAGTGACATATGGTAGCTGTCTTCTGCATTCAAATGAAAACAAGTTAAAATGTGACAATTAAATTAAGCTGTTCATTATATGAATTAGTTTTAAATTATTTTTTTTTCAGACAAGACATTATTCTGATTTGGAGAAGAAGGAAATCTTTTTCCTTACAATATCATTGATCAGTATCTTAGCAACCATTGGCCTGACGATTGAAAGGATAACATCAGTTTTTACTAAAGGAGAGCCGGATTTTACTTTTGCATTGTTGCTTTTAATACATTCTGGTGAGTATTATGGGATGTTTTGTCTGCAGTACTAACAACGTAAAAACTGCATCTGACGAATAGTATTTTTGGTATTAAATCAGACCAGCTTGGTTGATTATACCATACATTGTATTTGATGTTTCAGGAAAAAATAGAGGATGTGGATTAATTAATTAATTGTATTATTGCGATTTGATGACCTAACAGCGTTCACAGAGACAAAGAAGCCACTGTGATCTGTTTTAATGACCCCCATGCAGTGAAATACTCACTACTATGATAATTCACAATTTGTTGTGGCTTGTAGAGTTTGGCAGAAAGAAAAAAACAATTTACAGTGAGTTGGTCTGTTTTTGTTTTATAAATCAAAACAATAATTTTTTAACAATTTTCTTGGAAAGTTGTATTACAAAACAATTTTGAGAAAAAAACACTGCATGGTTAGGAAGTGATACCCAAATCAACGTGCATTGACATTTCAAGTAGTAATTCCTGGAATATTGACATTATTTCCATGAATGCATGTCACAAGGAATTTTTTCAGTAATTGAGTGGAAAAGTTAAAACATGTTGTATATTTGTAGTATCATTACTTTGTATGCGATTTTCCACTCGCTCCAAGTCGCTTATTATGAAATTTGAGATGATTGGTTATTTATTTAAGACCCATTTATATCGGGGAAAACTTATCTGAGTTTTGGTGAGAAAATTTCCTCGTTTACTTTATTTAAAATAAATTTAGTTTTCAATATTGTTAAAAAAAATTCAAAATAACTAAAGTGAAAAATCAACACTTAAAGTTTACTATTCAAAATATACTTGAATTGCACAGTGAATTAGTCCTGGAACTTAACAATGTTGTTAAATTATTAGAGCAGTTTCTGCATCCATTCACAGATCATTAAATAAGTCGTGTTGATGTTGTCATACCATTTACTCATGTAGGAAATCATTTGGACAACAGATCACATTACCATTGTCAAATAATGGCCACATTTGTCCAAAAACTCGATTGGCGTTATTTGCACAATTAAAGCTTTGATTAAAAAATTCCTAAAATGTAGGATGTAAACAAAATTACTGAAATTGAAATTTGAATAATTTTCAGCATAAAACAAACATTATGCAAATGAGCATATGCGTGATGATACAGGTATACCCAGAAGATAATATGATAAAAACCAGAGACATTAAAAACAGTATGTGTACATTTCTGGCATTAAGTCTTTCATACTTATTACCAAACGCTTCAGCGTGGTATTAAGAGTTTGTTTTCAGGGGTGGGTGATACCAAGGTGGGAAATGGATGCACATATGGGGTTAATTCCTTGAATTGCAATATAGAGGGTTCAGGCTGAAATACAATATATAGTGTTTTCATGTTTCGTCTGATATTTCTGTGGTATTCTGCTGCTGTAAGTAATGCACGATTTGTTCCGAAATTCAGTATGTTGTGTGCATTCCAGGGTTATTCGTTTTTTGCTGAAAACACCCCTATTTTTTAGTGGCAGAGTCGAATAGTCTCACTCCCACTGGGAAATCTGCATTGTTGCTTGAATGTGAGTTAATTAAACACATTTTCCAGACCGGCGAAAGAGTATGCAACAGCCAATTTTAACAGCCTGTCACATGATTTTACTCTGAATGTCAACATGAAAAGAGGCTAGTCCATTTTACGCAGGAGTAATTGGGAGTAGAATATGTGAGGGATAGTATCAACAGAGATGTGTATAGTGAAAAGTAATATCTATCCTTCATTTGCATCTCTGAGCATTTCTGTTTTAGTATATTGGTTTGAAA